AGTGTGGGCAGGTGCCCCCTACCTGTGGTGATCAGCCTGGCTTGTGGGAGCCAGATTCCAGAGGCTCTGCCAAGTGTGGGACTTCTAGCCCTCTGAGGAGGATGGGGCCTGAAGTTGACTGCAGACAGCCTAGCCAGGAACCTGGCATCTGGTCTCCATCTCGGGAAGGAGCCTCAGGGAACTTCCAGGACAAGGTGCTCATCGTGAGAACTTTGCCAGGCCACAGCCACTCCCAGCTGCTGGGTGCTTGAAGCCTGAGGGGCAAGGCCTCTCAGTTATAGTTCCCTCCAAATCAGGTCTCCCAGGTCCTTCCTCCATGCTGGGACTCCTTTCTTCCTGTCATCCACAGAACTCAGGCTTTCCCACCAGGAAGCTGACACCACCAGCCAGACTGACCCAACCCTATGCCATTCTCCTTCCTTAGTGCCATCAGCTCCCCACCATCCTTGAAATTAGGCTCCATTCTACAGAAGATGATCTTGAGTCTCCAATGAGGATGCGGAGCTGAGGATGCCCCATTCCCCTGCCCTCCCTATGGAGCCCAGTTCCCATCACTGCCAACACTAATGCTGCCTCATGGCCCATGGATAAAGTCATGCTGTACTACCCTTATGATGGAGCAAGGCCTCATGGGATCTGACCTTGAAATAGTTAACCGGGAAGCCTGTGAGCTCGGTCCCCCCAGTTCCCAGCAGTCCCCGGCCACAGTATTGTGGTTTCACGGTCCACGGCTCAGCACAGACGCCCTGTGAAGACGTGTGTAGTTTCATGTTTGTCTTAAAAGTTTGCACTTGGCATCTCGCCATTCCCTGGGGGCCTGGGGAGCCTCAGGGGGGGCTCAGTCAAGGTGCTTGCTGCCAGGAGGTGCTCACTGCAGGGACTCAGAACCTGGAGGCCTCTGCATGGATGACTCTGACTGCCCCATGTTCCCTCTGGGGTCAGCCAGGCTCAATGGCCTGCAGGCTTCAAGATGACCTGCCCTGCCTGTTGTATGGTTAAGGCCAGAATCCCTAAGCCTGTCCCTAAAAGGGGCCATGATGTCCAGCCAAGAGGGGAGCTCCAGAAAGGCCCCTACCCCGACCCCATCCCACTGCCCTCTTCCCTCCACTAAAGATTCCCAGTGCAAACGACACCCTAGTCCCTCTGTGGGCTTGTTTCCCTGGCCCCCAGCATTGGCCTTTGGCTTCAAACTCCCTTCTCTGGTACAGCTGACACCTGGCTGCAATGATTGCACTTTCTTACCGTCCCTCCAAGAGACATGGTCAGAGCCGTGACCCTCAGCAGGCACAGTTAGTGCCCTCTGTGTTTAAGGGAACGTAAACGGGGGAAGAACTGGGGGAGCCAGCGTTCTGCTCCAGCAGTCAGGGCCCTAATATCAGCTGATGGGGAACTCCCTGACTCCCAGGAGCCCACATGGGTGCTAGGCAGGGGCACGGAATGAAGACAGCCAAAGCTGAGCACTAGCCTCTGGTGCAGGAAGGAAACGGGTGATCAGTTGCTGACCCCCCCAAGCTGTGTGACTTGAGACAGTTTACTTAACCTCTCTGAGCCTCGCTTGCTAGTAAATGAGAGTAAAGACACATAACTGGAGAGCTGTTTGCGGCCATCTTTACTCTGGTATACCAAATAAGGAGGACTGGCCCAGAGTAGGTGCTCTGCAAAGAGCAATGGAAAAATTAGGGATCCATGTTGTCATGATCCTTCTCAATCTGTTCTGTAGCTAAAGAAGGACAGGAAGTTGGGGAGGTTTAGCAGCTTGCTCAGAGTCACACGGGATATGTACAGCATTGGCTTTCTGGGTCACTAGCTCCTACATGTGTCCTCAAGTGTCAGCCTGCCTGAGCAAAATCCTCCCAAGGAGCCTTGAGCAAGACTTAGTGTCTGAGAACCACACTCTCAGAGGGTGAGCAATAAGGGCCCAGGATGAGATGGGCCCTCTGTCTAGATGGAAGCATTTCCATAGCATCACCGAAGCTGGTGTCTGACCTGCCACCTGAGAACCACACAGAAAACACCCAGTTTCTGGGGGATGCAAGCAGTACCAGAAGGAAACGGATGGAAAGCTGCCCTCCACAGCCTTAGAATAAAGCACCCCCCCATGGCTGCTTTGTAAACCAGACCCTGCTTAGATTCTGGCCTCTCTCCCCTGCAGGCTGGAGCTCGGCCTCCTGGATGAGGCCGTTTACCCCCTCTGGACCAGTCACTCTCCTTGGTCTCCCTCCTCAGCCTCATATCTACCCACAAGAGAAGATGCTGAACAATTTTATTTCCCAGCCTCCCAGGGCCCACCAGGGATGGGGGGGGGTTGGGAAGTGGTGTGTGTGTGTGTGTGTGTGTGTGTGTGTGTGTGTGTGTCTCCTCACCAGGTTCTTAACCAAGGCTGTTTTATGCCGTCTCCCTGCCAGCCGAACCATAGGTTTACCATTTGTCTCGCTCTACAGAAACAAGCGGAGGCCAGAATAATCAAGTCACCTTCCCCAAGTCACACAGTATGACAGCTTGGGGACAGAGATGCAGGAGGTGGGGGCTGAAGAGTTCTAGCTTGGTCCTCGGGCCCAAGGGACCACTATAGTGGTGGGCATGCTTGGCTGCCCCTGTATCTCCTACCTCTTGGGGAGCCCCATCCGGGCACTGAACAAGATAAGACAGAACCCCATGTGCTTCCGAACTACAACCGCAGCCTCTGGCGCACAAGGGAAGCAGGCTGACCAGCTTCGCCCTGCCCCCACCTTAAGCCAAGCTCTAGGGCAACTCTGATAGAGTAAAGACAGCATCAGGCCCTAATGGGAGAGCAGACAGGGAGAGCCCCAGCCTGCCTGGACCTCTGTGTTCATGTTCTGCTCGTGCTGCAGAGTAGCCATGAAGCCCCTTCACGACCCCCTCGACATGAACCTGAAAAAGGTTTCCACCTAATTAATGCTGCAGACGAGGCGCATTCGCTAAAGCCCCCTGGGTGCCCGCCCCAGTCTACATCGGTTCATCCTGTCCCGCCACCACGTCCAAAAAGCAGCTCTTGTCACTCCCGCTTTGCAGAGGGGAGCTGAAGTGCAGTCTGAACAGATGGTACAGAGAAGTGTTGAGGGATGAACCGGGACTCTGGGCGCTCCTGAGGTGGCTGGGGGCAAGCAGGAAGCTTGCCTACTCCAGACCTTGCTGCATCCCTCACCTGCAACCGGAACTGACTCCCCTCCTCATAGCAACAGGGGCTGCCTCCTTATGAGCCTGACCTCGGGCTAGGTCAGGGCCCTGGACACTGGCCCAGAGACTGTCCTTTCTGGGTTGTCCTCACTGCCCAGAACCATTCCATGGTGGACTAGATGGGAGAAGAAGGCCCAGCTTCCAGCCCATCTCCACTCCTGCTCACCACAAAGCTTGGTTAGGATGGGGTGGATGGCCCTGCTCCCAGAGCTGTGACCATCAGGGAGAACATCGTGACTGAGGAGCCAGGCCTGGAGAACAGTGGCAACACTCTACTCCGGGAATGCCTGTCTTTCCAGTCACACGGTGCCAATGACTGAGAAGGGCCAAGGAGCCTGAAAAAGGAGCAGCTTTGGGTAAGTCGTAAGACTCTCAATATGCAATTTAACTTCCCCAAGCCTCAGGTCCCCAAGCTGTACACGGGGACCTGACCCAGTCTCAGCTAGTTGGTTTTTCCATGTATTTTCAGTCACACTCCCCCGCACCCAACCCCTGGCCTCAGTTTCTCCATCGGTTAGCTGGGAACTTTGACAGACTTGGAGTTGACTTGAAGACAGGATAACCAAGGTACGGGGGGAACCCCCTCAGGGCCGTCCCAGGGCCAAAGAAGGGTCACTTCCTTCCGAGCTGTCGGTTGTCAGTCACCTCTGGGTGGCCTCTGCCCGAGTGCGGCGGCGGCGCCAGGATTTCCTCCGCGGACCTGTGATTCCCTGCACCCCAGACCTCGCAGGCTCCCGGCTGCACGTGCGGCGGCCCGGGCCTAGCTTCTTTCGTGATCCTTCCCTCTCTCTCTCTCTCTCTCGGAGATTTTTGGCCCAGCGATTCTTGGGCAGAGGGGATGGATGCTCCTTTCCCAGATGTTTCACAGCTGGAAGGGCGGCGGTAGGACCCCGCGGCTCGTAGTGCCCCCAAGGGGCGTGGCCGGGCGGAGAGTGCTATTTAAAGGGCGGGCGCCGCCCCCTCGCGGCCGGCAGGAGCGGCGCTGCAGCGGCCGGGCCTCGGCGGGCTGGACCCCGCGGGCTGCGCGAACGATGTGCTGCGGAGGAGCCCGGCTGCGGCGGCGGCGGCGGCGCTGAGCCAGGTAGGGGCGGCAGATAGCAGCAGTGCCTCGGAAGCTGGGGTTGGATCCTCCCTCGGTCGCCAGGTCTTAAATCAGTCTCCCCCCCAGGAAGGGCTGAGATGGGTGTTCCCATTTGACAGCTGGGAAAATAGAGGCAGGAAGTCCCGGACGTGCCTAAGAGCACACAGCCAAGCAAGCAGACCAGGGTTTGAATTCAGGTCTCCCCGAGGCAGACATGGACTTTCCACAGCGCTGCTGTTGTCTTTGGAGGGGATACCCCAGCTCTCTTTGGAGAGACTTGAAGCCGACCTTCTTTATGGGTGATAGATGGGAGGGACCCCTGCTCCACCTCCACCCTGACATTCTGCATCAAAACCACATTCCTTTGGGTTAAGGTCTGATTCCCCCGAGATGTGGGATGTCTCCAGAACGGGCTGCCTTAGTGATTCACTGCCCTGTGAGTCTTGAAGCTGCTCTCCCAGGCCCCCCTTGCCAGTACGTCAGAGCACACTGAGAGCACTACCGCCCAGTGTGCTCCTGGGGCAACTTAGGAGGGAAGTCTTGGCCGTTGCTTTGGAGACAGAGGGGCTGGATTCTGATCCTGACTCTTCCATTTACTGTACAGGTGACTTTGGGTAAGTCATTTCTCTGAATCCCATGTCCTGGGAGAGAGTTCTACAGGGGGCCGGGGGGTCTGCACAGCCAGAGACTGTGCAGCACTAAGGGTCTGAGGATCTGCATGAGCCCCGGGACCAGCACATCTAGGGGCTGGGGGCAGGCACTTCACCTTCCTGAGTCTCAGTCTTCTGGTTTCTAAATAGGAATTACAGTAATTATCCTCACTTGGTGGCTGTGAGAATTCAAAAGACCTGAGATCAGTCACGTCCTTAGAAAAATGTGTAACCTCCTTGCATAGTGGGGCCAGTCTACTTTTGATTATGGATTGCCCCTCTTATCTCTGTCTGTCCTCTCTCTGTCACACACAGACACACACACAAGCACACACACAGATATTCTTTGACATTTCTCCATGTCAGAATCCAGCCACTTCTGCAGACCCAGGACCTCTGTCCTAGCACACCTCACCAGGGATGCTCAGCGTTATTGGTTCCTGTACCAGCTGGGAAGGGCCCTGTAGTGTCCCAGTACCTTCCTGGCCGTGCTCCACCTGATCATCCCCACGGCTAAGGGGGGACAGTGGTGGAATGGGAGGTGGCGTGTGCCGCAGATGGCAGATGGGTCACCCAGATGGAAGAGGTAAAGGAGCTTGCTCTGGGGACCCAGAGTAGCTAGTGGTGGGGCTTGACTGTAAGCCTGGATTCTAATACCCGTGGTCCTCCCTGTGAGAGACTGAAGTCCTCGGATGCTGGGGAGAAGGCATGACAGGGGGCTTCTTTCTACCATAATTCTGTGGTGCAGTAGGGACTGTCCCTTCTGGATATGCAGAAGCCTCATGCTGGGGTAGAACAGGACACAGGAGTGATAGAGCCCTTGGGCATCTCCACCTTAACTAACCCCGGGTCCTAACATCCTTACTGCTCCTGAACTTCTGCCCTCACTCAGGCACTTGTTCCTTGAGAGAACTTTAGTGAGCATCTACCTAAGGAATGAAATGAACAATACATGGGTCTGCAAATGGGTGTGGGGGAAATGCAACACATTGGAGCCTGAGTAAGGGCATTCTGGGTAGAGGGAGCAGCAAGGCAGAGCCCCAGGCAGGCCGAAAGTTACTGGGGTGTGACCGAGGAGTTTGCTGAGGAGAAGACGGTGGTAGATGATGCTGATGGGATAGAGTGTGAAGCCTGGACGCTACTGGAGATTTCAGAGTGACTCGTAAGATCTGGCATGTGATTTTGAAACGTCACTGACTGCCATGTATGGGACTGACTGTCCAGTCCTGGAGGGAAGCGAGGACGCAGGGAGTGGAGTCGGCTGTTGCAGTGAAGCTTTGAACCTGGAGGGACAGGGAAGTAAAGGGGCAAGGAGACAGAGGGAGGTGGGGGACCTCCCCTCACCTGCACTCCGCATTGGAGACTCAAATGCAGGTGTGCCATCTGGCTGCCCTGTGTCATGAGGTCGTCCCCAGGGGTACTTTCCTTTCAAGGGGTGGGGAAGTATAGTGAGGTGGGCTCTGTGTTCCACACTGGGCCACGCAAAGCTCAGCAACTGTGAGAATCTGAAGAACACAGACCAGCCATGGGGAACCAGAAGAGGTTTCCTGGAGGACATGGCATCTAAGCCAAGCTCCACGAGGTGGGGAGGTATTCAGCCGCAGGGGTAGCAAAGGAAGGGAAGGCTCAAGCAACGAAAGGTACCCAGAGGGCCAAAGGAAATACATGTGTTCAGGACCCAGAGTGGGGGGATGATGAGAAGCCAGGTGGGAGACAAGCACTGGCCCAGAGAGAGCCGGCTCCCCCAGGGCCCCGGAGATGAAGGCCAGGGGTTTTCGTTGAGCTCTGAGTATGCTAATGTCAAGCAGGTGGGGACCGCTTTTGAACCAAAAGAACAAAATTTCCTGTGAACTCACAGCCTGCAGTGAGAGGAGAGTGCTGTGGGGCAGGGCTGGGCTCTGGGGGAGCCAGGAAGGAGAGCTGAAAGGGCCACACTGGCCGCTGCTGCTGCCGCTGCTGCCGCTGCTGCTGCTGCTGCCGCTGCCACTGCTGCGTGTCTCAGCAAGATAAGGGCAGAGCAGCCACCGCATTGAGATTCATTGCCAGTGGGCTCTGACAGTCAAAAGAGCCGACAAAGGTGCAGACCTGTCCCAAGGCCACCTTCAGAGTGGCAGCTCTTAGTCTTTACTGAGCACCGGCTGTGGGAGACCTTCAAGTGCAGAAGGGCCCAGACCCACGAGTCTCAGCCTGCCACCTTGCTGTGTCGTCCTAGGGGTGTGTGTGTGTGTGTGTGTGTGTGTGTGTGTGTGTGTGTGTGTTGCTTAACCTCTCTGAGCCTTGGTTTTGGTTTGGTTTGGGTTTTGCATTTGTTTGTTTTTTTCTCTTCTATAAAATGAGAAGTGTAAGAAAGTGGAACTGAGTCCTCGTGAGGATTCAAAGAGTTAGTAATTGTCAGGCATGATCATGGAGGGGTGATATGCTGTGACATTTTCATAGAATATGTCTCATCATCCTCAACCAAACTTGGCATGGTGGTCATTTACCTCCGGAAACAAGGTCAGAGAGATAGTGTGGTCAGTGTGAGATCACACCGAAGGCGCCTAGTGGAGAGGAGGGAGCTGCCGGGTGTTTCGGCTCTGAGTCCTGTGGTCCTCCTTGTGAGCACTCGGTGTCCAGGCTGGGATCTCTTCGGCCCACTATCTCAATGCTATTTCCCAGCACAGAGCTAGATGTGAGATGACATTCAGTACTGGAGTAACTGGATTCATTCATTTGTTAATTAATCAAAAGAATAGGCTGATCTGTCTCCTCGGCACACGGCTCAAGTCCACGGGGATTCACCCCTGCTAAAGGCCTCTGGGGTCCTTCACGGGCCCCCCACCCTGGCTGCTTTCACTGCAATGGACCCGTGGCCTTGGGCAGCCATCGCCTTCAGTGAAAGTAGAGGACTGGCAGCCTGCTGGGGTGGGGCTTCCTGTCAGTGCCCTGGCCAGCCCCTGAACAATGACAAGAGAATTCCAACCAAAAGAAAAATGTCAAGATGAAGGAGAGTGAGACATTCCATTTGGGGCCTGTGGACCTGGGATGGGGGCTGCCTGGGGCCTGAGGGGAATGGGGTTTGAGGCCTGTCTCCCTCCAGCCAACCTTGCCCTAGGGTCCCTTTGCCTCCTGAGTACCCCTAATTTTAGCACTCCTAATTTTCCTCTACCAGGTTGACCTTTATAATTTTTTAAAAATTACATTTTATTGATTTGAAGGGAGAGGGGTGTGTGTACAGAGGGTAGTGAAGTCCAGGAGTCAGTTCTCTCCTTCCACCATGTGGGTCCCAAGATCAAGCTCAAGCCATCAGGCTTGATGGCAAGGGTCTTTACCCCAGAGCTATCGCAATGGCCTTGGGCGGGCCTTAGGTAAACCCAAAGCAGACAGGTCATGCTTTGCTTTAAAAGTCTTGCTTCCCCTGAGTAATGACTAAGCTTGGCCTCAGAGTCGCAATCCCTGGCCTCCTACCTCGGCCTCTGAAGTCCTAAGACACCACTCCTTTCAGCTTCCCTGAGTCGTGGAGCCCACATGCCTCCTGCTTTCAGTTCTGGCCCAGAGTCCTGGGGGAGGGCCAGCGGGGTGCTGCCGGCAGGCAGCGGAGGGGATGGCGGCGGCCTCACAATTCCTCTTTCCTCTCCACCCTAGGCAGAGCCATGAGCCACCAGATCCTGCTCCTCCTGGCCATGCTGACCCCGGGCCTGGCTATCTCTCAGCACCGAGAACAAGTGCCCTGTAGGACGGTAAGACGCCGCGCAGGCAGAGTAAGGGGTGCCTATCCCATCCTTGCTGGGAGGGGGTGTCCCACATCCCAGCACCAGAGCAAAGATTAGGGGACCCAGAGAAGGTTAGAGTCGTACCTTGGTATTTGTTGAGCATACACTAGACTGTTCAGAAACGTGCTTACCCAACAGTCTTGTTCTCTTTTTATACAAGGAAAACTGAGGTTTGGGGAGGTTAGGTGACCTAACCAAGATCATTCAGCTAGGGACAGTGGGACCCACCGGCTCTCTATTCCCCAAGCTGCCCCTGTTATAGGCAATTGGTCTTGTGGGAGCTTCTGCAGGAAAGGAGCTGGGAAAGGCTCCTCTGCACTGATCCTCCTGGGCACTGATCCCCTCCCGGCTGGGCTCCTGGCCTGCCTGCTAGAATGCCCCTCACTCATTACAGCCAGGTCAAGTGCCACCTTGTCCAGGAAGCCTCCCCCTGACATTGCTGACTGACTCCTTCAGCCCAAGGCTATCTTATCTGGCAGACCAAGAGCTCCTTGGGGACAGAGAACAGGCTTGACTTCTGTTCTTTTCCTATTCCAAGGCAGGCAGATACTAAACGTTGTGACCCTGTGGGTCAGTGCTTCTCAACCTGTGGGTCATGACCCCCACAGGGGTCACATATTAGTTATTTAATTATGATTCATAGTGGTCACAAAATTACAGTTATGAAGTAGCAACAAAAATAATGTTATGGTTGGGGGTCACCACAGCATGAGGAACTGAATTAAAGGGTCACGGCATTAGGAAGGTTGAGATCCACTCCTCTAGGACACTTGTGAAGCAGGGTTAGGGACAGGACAGCCCCCGCCCCCAACGAAGGGAGAGCTGCTTAAAGAGGACAGGAACACCAGCAGCCACCTGCCAGCAGCCCTGTCCTGGGGTCTGTGTGCTCTGCTGTGGACCCCACTTCTTACTTGGAGGCCTCCTGAGCGTCTCATAACCCAGAATAACGGGAGGAAAGGCTTCGGACATCACCACATGCCCAGAGACTGGGAGGACTGAGGCCCTACAAGGTGAAGGGCTTTGGCCCCAGCAAACAGAGGGCATGGGGCAAGGGCGCCCTGAGAAGCCGAATATGATAGACAGGAAAGGACTTTCTGAACCATCAGGAAAAGACACGTGACCCCGAGGGCCCCAAGGATAGAAGTGACAGAGTCAGAACCAAACCCAGCCAGCTCCCCTGTGCTGCTCCCTGCCAGTGCCATCCTTACGCAGGTTTCTCCTGTGTGTGGATGGAGTTGGATGGCATGTCCTTTCCCCCATCAGGAAGAAAACAGAGCAGTGGCTGACACCACAGAGTGAGTAGGGATGCTAAACCATAGCCAAGGCCCAACCTCTATCATCTCTGCACCAGAGACACCTGGCAGTCAGTCGGAGCTTGGAGTTCAGGGGAGAGAGGGTGCAGAGATGGAGTTGAGGGAACCTCCTGCCCTCACGCTCCTTCTGAAGTCTGGGCTGGATTGGAGATGTGGGTACCAGGTGCTTCCCTGGACCCCTGCAGTATCTGATAGACAGTCTCAGGCTCCACCCCTGGGCTCCTGTCATGGTTCCTCTGGAGCTGGTGTCCTGGAGAGCTTTTGCTCATCCAGAGGGGAGGGGACATGGGCGTGGGTTTGCATGGGGGAGTGTGGCTTGTGCATTGCAAATGAAGGGTAAATAGGGCCAGCCAGCCTGGGTCCCTGGGTGCTGAAGGCTCAGCTTACACAAAAAGGAAATCATGCTAGCATCTTGGTTCATCTTGTTGCTGCTTACAGCAGGGTGGTCCTGAGCACTAGGTGGCAAGTAGGTATCTAATTTCTGTGGGTGGCAGTGGGGGGTGTTGTTGGGTCTCCTAGAGCCTCAGTTGGCAGCTTTTCCTGGAGGTATAGGGCTATTCAAGGTACGTTTGCAGAAGGCATCCACACCAGTGCCCATGGCCAGACAGTGCCCTGCCTTGCCCCTCACCTTGGGGTCCTCAGGAGGAGCCTCAGAGCGAGGCCAGGCAGGGATGGCAGGCTTGTGCTTCTTCCTCACTACTTCAGCTACTGGATCCCTGTGGCCCAGGCAAGCCACTGCCAGGGCAGGCCTTGACTTCAGCATGCGGACAGCAGGTGGGCTGGCCTCTGGCTTTAATCTGAATATCCAGATTAGCTCTTTTCTTTCCGGCATTGATTGGATCAAGGCCTCAGCCTTTTCCTTAAGCACAGATGTCTGCAACTCATTCATAAAAGACACTCCCAGAGCACTTTCTGTGGGCCAGGCCCAAGACATCCATGTCAATCATGCTCCAAGCTCACTGACTGCAGGTCCCCACTCGGTCTTTGTTCGGGGGCGCCAGGCCATAGTAGGAAGGAAAGTTAGGGAGGGCCTTGGTGGAAGAGGTGTTGGGTTCTTGGTGAGGAAGTCTCATGCAGGTCTGATACACACATGTCCAGAGATGGGCATGGAAGAGCGTGGGAGTGGTAGCCAGGCATGATCACTGCATGCAAACTGGATTGAGGTGAGTGGACAGGTTGGGCAGAGCCACAGACAGTCTTGATGGATTCTGCTGCATGTTAAGGCCAAGGGCACCATAGGCAAAGTGGGTTTTGAGTAGTCTCTGGGCATTTAGCAGGTGGGTGGTTCAGTAGTGATGGGGGGGCCGTTGGAGACAGGCTGGGGGCAGGGGCAAAACTAAGCTGGCTGGTTGTAGATGTGACACTATTTGCTGGGGCGGACTGGGAGACCTGGGGTGGCAATCTGAGGATGACCAAATGGAGATGTGCATTTGCATATGACCCTTAAAAACACGTTTTATGGAAGGACAAGAGTTGCTGAAAGACCCATGTTCAAATCCCAGCTCCCTCTATACCATCTGGGTGATCCTGAAGTCTCCCTTACCCTCTCTGACCTGGACTTTGATAAAAACATGTAATTACATCAGATCACCCCTATACTGGGGCTGTTGTTGATCTGACAGGGTCACCAGTCTGAAAGTCCTGATATATAAAGTAGGTGCAGGGAAGGACAAGTTAATTTTTGGGTAAGGAACTGGAGTGTTGATGTGACTTGCTAGTGGCCATTCAGTTAAACTGTCATCCCTTCCCTTGCTCAATCTCCTCACTCCTACTACCTTTAGGGCCCCATACTGGACCAGGCCACCAGGAGTGGGCCACCAATATGGGGGTAGATAGCAGCTGCAGAAAGGATTGTGTCCAGAACCTACCCCACGTCACAAAAGAAATGAGATCTGAGGCTGGGCAGACCAAGTCAAAGTGGCTGGCAGGACACACTGCTGCTTCCCCTGTTGCAAACATCTTTTCCAGATGAAGCTCCCAGCCTAATGCTGGGACTTTATCTGGGATGTGGCAAGGACCTAGATGTGGACCTGGAAGCTGTGGCCATGTTGCTCCTTGGCTCTGGATCACTCTGAGTGAAGCACAGCTTAGTTTCCCTTGTAACGGGACAATAATCAGCACACATTTATTCTTAGATCTGTCTGCTATTTCTCTGTCTATTGCCTCCCTCCTGCCCAGCACCCACCAGACTGCCAGAGGCAGGGCCAGAGAGAAGCATGAGGTCATCAGCTGGGTGAAGGAAAGGCTCTAGCATCCTGGGAGTCTGTGGGGAAGCCCCCGTCTTAGTTAGGGTTTCCATTGCTGTGGAGAGACACCATGGCCATGGCAACTCTTATAAAGGAAACCATTTAATTGGGGTGGCTGGCTTACAGTTCAGAGGTTTAGTCCATTATCGTCATGGTGGACAGCAAGGCAGTGTACAAGCAGACATGGTGCTGAAGAAGAAGCTGAGAAGTTCTTACATCTTGACTCAAAGACAACAGGAAGTGGTCTGAGACACTGGGCATGGCTTGAACATATGAGACCTCAAAGCCCACCTCCTCAGTGACACACTTCCTCTAACAAAGCTACACCCTCTAATAGTGCCACTCCCTATACGCTTATGGGGGCCAATTACATTCAAACTACCACGCCTCCCCAAGCTTGGGGAGAGTTAGTCATCTTTCCTAGAGAACCCTGTCCTGTTCTCCTGTCTTGTCCCTATTAATGCCAGCTTCTCTGCCACCCTTACTCTCTCTAGGTGAACAAGGAGGCCTTGTGCCAAGGCCTTGGCCTTCTTCAGGTCCCCTCAGTGCTCTCGTTGGACATCCGAGCTCTCTACTTGTCTGGGAACAAGCTGCAGAGCATCCTGACCTCCCCATTGGGCTCCTACACAGCACTTCGTCACCTGGACTTAAGTGTCAACGAGATCAGCTTCCTCCAGCCAGGAGTCTTCCAGGCCCTGCCCCACTTGGAACATCTCAACCTAGCCCACAACCGGCTCGCCATGGGCATGGCACTGAACAGTGGTGGTCTGGGCCGCCTGCCCCTTGTGGCCTCCCTGGACCTGTCTGGGAACAGCCTGTATGGTAGCCTGGTGGAGCGGCTGTTGGGTGAGGCCCCGAGCCTGCATACCCTCTCACTGGCAGAGAACAGCCTCACTCGCCTGGCACGCCACACCTTCTGGGGCATGCCGGCGCTGGAGCAGCTGGACCTCCACAGCAACATACTGATGGACATTGAGGACGGTGCCTTCGAGACCCTGCCCCACCTGACCCACCTCAACCTCTCCAGGAACTCCCTCACCTGCATCTCGGACTTCAGCCTCCAGCAGCTGCAGGTACTCGACCTGAGCTGCAACAGCATTGAGGCATTCCAGACGGCCCCAGAACCCCAGGTCCAGTTCCAGCTGGCCTGGCTCGACCTACGGGAGAACAAGCTGCTCCACTTCCCTGACCTGGCTGCATTCCCAAGACTCATCTACCTGAACGTATCCAACAACCTCATCCGGCTCCCTGCGGGGTTGCCCCAGGACAGTGAGGACCTCCATGCACCCTCTGAGGGCTGGTCAGCCTCTCTACTGTCCAACCCCAGCCGGAATGCCAGCACCAATCCCCTCTCCCAGCTCCTGAGCCTGGATTTGAGTTACAATGAGATTAAGCAGGTCCCTGCCAGCTTTCTTGAACATCTGACCTCCCTGCGCTTCCTCAACCTCAGCCGAAACTGCCTGCAATCCTTTGAAGCCCGGCGTGTGGGCTCCCTTCCCTGCCTGGTGCTTTTGGACTTGAGCCACAATGCGCTGGAAGCATTGGAACTGGGCGGCAAAGTCCTGGGGTCCCTGAAGACATTGCTTCTGCAGGACAATGCCCTGCAAGAACTACCACCCTATACCTTTGCCAGCTTGGCTAGCCTGCAGAGGCTCAACCTATGGGGAAACCAGGTCAGTCCCTGTGGGGGACCAGCAGAGCCAGGTCCCCCAGGCTGTGTGGACTTCTCTGGGATCCCCACCCTCCATGTTCTGAACATGGCAGGGAACTCGATGGAGATGCTCAGGGCAGGCAGCTTCCTCCACACCCCACTTACTGAACTGGACCTCTCTGACAATCCTGGTCTGGATGTGGCCACAGGAGCCTTGGTAGGCCTGGAGGTATCCTTGGAGGTACTGAAACTTCAAGGCAATGGGCTGATGGTCTTGAACGTGGACTTGCCATGCTTCCGCCGTCTCAAGCTCCTTAACCTTTCCGAGAACCGCCTCAGCCACCTGCCTGCCTGGACACAGGCTGTGTCCCTGGAGGTGCTGGATCTGCGGAACAACAGTTTCAGCCTCTTGCCAGGCAATGCCATGGGTGGCCTGGAGACTAGCCTCCGGCGCCTGTACTTGCAAGGAAATCCACTCAGCTGCTGCGGCAATGGCTGGCTGGCGGCCCAGTTACACCAGGGCCGAGTGGCTGTGGATGCTACTCAGGACCTGATCTGTCGCTTTGGCTCTCAGGAGGAGGTGTCCCTGAGCCATGTGCGTCCAGAGGATTGTGAGAAGGGAGGGCTCAAGAACATCAACCTCATCATCATCCTCACCTTCACACTGGCCTCTGCCATCATCCTCACCACGCTGGCCACCTGCTGCTTCCTCCGTAGGCAGAAGTTCAGCCAACAATACAAAGCCTAGGGGATCCTCTTCCCACTCAGTGTGGAAGCCCGAGAGGCAGAGAAGAGGGGTCTAGCTCAGGTTACACAGTGACCAGGGATTCAGCATTCTGCATCCTGCCACATGGACAGGTAGTTGCTTCCTGAGCTGCATATGTGATCCAGCTGTGGAGCCCAAAGTGGGTCAGTTTACTGAACAGAGGATACCAACAAATCTCCACTGAGCATCTGTTTCAGGCCAGACCCTTCTCTGGGCACTAGTAAATGAAACACGTGCCTGCCCTCTGGCAAGAGAGGCTGTCACAGAACCAGTGACCATGGAGTGTGATAGGCTTGAGGTGGGGAGGCCCTGGGCCCCAGACCTGCAGTCCCCAGCTGGTCATGGAGTGTCTACCCTGGCTGGCTGTGTTTGGGCAAGGGAGGGCCAAGCCTGAGAGATGATTTGTCTGAGCCGTTCCCACACAGAGCTCTGTCGCATCTGCTGATAATGACTTTCAGCCTCTCTGGAAACGAAGAACTTGTGACCAGAAGAGAGAGCCAGGATTTCCTCCAAAGGTCTTGAATCTGGTCTCCTAGGCCAGATTCTGAAGTTCCGGCTGAGCCAGCGTAAAGTATGGTCACTTGGACTTCCAGCCAGGCCCAGGACAGTCTGTGTCCTGCCCTGGACAGGCCCTTCCCCCTCAGTGGACTCTCCTGTTACACACACACTGACCCCAGTGCTGCCTGGATTGCCAGCCCCCTGCTCGGGCCTCCTTCCCTCCCAGCCCCACCCTAGCTTTTGAGCCAAGAGGGAGAGCCTCGGCTATCTGGTTCTGTTTTGCACTCAGCTTAGCAGCTGCAGAGGTGAATCCAAGCCAACTCTTGGAGGTTTCTATGTTATCTGTGTTGTACACAAGGAGAAAAGAAGGTTCCTGACATCTCCTTTGAGAGCCTCAGGGCTGAGAGAGATGCCAAAGCCAAAAACGAGTCAAACCCATGTCCTCCGGTCTCCAGGACCTAAGCCTTGCCGGTGCAGGGCCGGCTGTCAAGTGGACAGGAAGTGGCCTTACCCTAAGCAGGCTCCAAGCATCCTTGCTGCACACACTCCCTCCCTCCTCCCAGACCGGCACCCACCGACCCTCTGCGTCTGCCTCAGTGTCCCTCGTTCATTTGCGGACCGGTATGAATTCTCCCTCTCATCTTGCTCCCACAGTCTCATCCTTCCTCCACGAAGCGGAGCTGGGAGTTTGACGCGACTGAGTGTCATTTCCCCATTGCGCAGATAAGGAAAGCAAGGTTGAGGGGCTTGCTCAGGGTCACACCAGCCAATGGCAGAGACTGTGGGGGAAAGGAGAGAACACCAGCTGGGCTTGTTGCACCGTGGCAGAGTGCTTGCGTTTCGTGCTCAAGCCCCCCGAGCTGGGTGCCCAGCGGCGTCGCCTGTGCGGCTTCACGCTCTGGGCAGTCTCAGGGCAAGACAGTGCCAGCTCTCACGCCTGACCTCACCAGGAAAACAAGAAGGAAGACCCCCCCCCAGTCTCTCCACGCGTTCTCCAGACCCATGGGCTACGGGGAGAAAGGGGAGCCCTGGGCCCAGTCACAGAACCTGCTTCATCAGCGCCCCTGTGCCTGGCCCCCAGTCTGCCAGGACACTCGGTCACATACAAGATGAAAACACCATTCTCTCTGCCCAGTTTTGCAAATGAGGAAGGTTAAAGGGTCAGAGAACCAATGGGCAGATCCGGGGCCAGGACCCTCGCCGGGTCAGCGAGTGGGGTCTAGGTGCTACTGCACACAGCACTCTGTCTCGGCCTGGAGGCCAGACCGTGGCCGCTGTGCCTGAGCTCTGAAAACACTATATCATGCTGCTCTTCCCTCCCAGCTGGCCACTGCCAGGCCCTGGGACCAGCTCTTTGTATAACTCACTGAATGTATTAAAGTATAATTTTGGAGAAGCTGTGGCCTGCCAGCCTGCTTACTTTGGGCTACATACATACGGTTGCATGCACTGGAATCCTGACCCTTTCTTCTCCCGTCCAGGGCTTTCATTCCTCATGAGGCACCCAGGGGACACCGAAGCCGTTGGCCGGCCCCACCTGGGCTTTGGGCCTCAGCCTCTTTCGTAGCCTCGTCACATCCCACATCACCTATGCCCCACCCCAACCCTCAGAAACTAGTGCCTGTGGCCCCTTCCCACCTGTCTGCAGTGATGTGTCGGTCCCCCCCTGCTTTTGTTTTAAGATGGGGAATGGTGGACACAGAGAAAGGCTCGCCCTTCCCATCTTAAAACCAGTGAAAGCTCCTTGTACTGCTGTCCCATCCTCCCTTCTCCGGCTCTCCATGGCAGATCCCATCCCTTCCTCCCCTCCTTCCCTCCTCTCCGCCTCTCCTCCTCCCAACTGCTCCTATGGAGGCATCCGGAGGCATCCCCAGTCAGAGAGTCACGTGTCTCCTAGGGGCTAGAGAACCCAGGGAGAATTTAGTCAGTAAGAAGTCAAGATTCAGATTGAACTTGAGAGAGAGAGAGAGAGAGAGAGAGAGAGAGAGAGAGAGAGAGAGAGAGAGAGAGAGGATTGATGGAAGAAGGAGCTGCCTAACTGAGAGAGACTGAAGTGAGAAGCAGGGACAGACTCTGGAGGTGGACAGCGATGCCTGTCTTGGTCTTCCTGCTAGGCTCACAGCAGCCCTTTAGCTGGTCTCTCGTGGCCCAGCTCAGTACACCACCACGGGGTGCTGGCCTCTGCGGGTAGCAGCCTCCCTCTCCAACCTGCCTCTCTTCCAGCCCAGCCTTTCCCCGCCCTCTCAGCACTCTGGAAGCATCTCCACAGCTGAAGTGGCCCTGGGCCCTCCCTGGATGGACAGCTTTGCCTTCTCCCAAAGATTCCTTCAAATAACTTCTCTGCCTCCAGCCTCTCACCCGAATTCCTGCTCCCCACTCTCCCACTCCTGGGGGAGCATTGAACTTGCTGTTTCAAGGGGGCAGTGCTGGGCTTGGGAAGGCACACAGTAGAGGCTCAGTGAAAGCAGAGTTGGACCAGGCCATTGCATCGGCTGGGCTCAGCCTGGGACCTGTGGGCTTCCCCTCCAACAGGATCCCACCAGGCCCCTGACCCCCTTTCCTGGCAAACAGGGGAGCCTGTTCACCTGGCCAAGACCCCCAGTAGGGCAGAAATTCCTGTTTTCAGTGCAACGTGGACAGCTGCCAACTAGGTCATCAGAACATCCGGTTTACTGAGCTTTCAGCCAGTTCTAGGAGAGGGGGCCCCTCCTGTTCTGTGTCACAGGCCACCTGGAGTGTCATGCTCGACTCATCTAGTTCAGTAGGCTCTGTCGGTGTCCCACTCCTTAAGGGACCCTGTGCCCCCACCCCCAGCTGCCTCAGCATCTCAGGCCACCAGACCCAGGGGCCTGGCCAGCTGCCCACTGCAAACACCCTGTCCTCCAGACAGCCTGCACGCCAACCCTGGCGGGTAGCCGTCTGCCGCTCTGGCACCCCTCTCTGCTGTCACCCACCATTTGTTGACCATTCCTAAGGACATCCACCTAAGTCCAAGCTGAGAAGTTGACGGACATTATTCCTACAGCGTTTGGAGAGATTTCTGTTGCATCTTGATAGTCTAGGGCTGAGACCTAAACCCAGGTTCATCCCTCTCCGAAGCCAGTGAGTTTTTTCTTATCGTTTTTTGTTGTTGTTTTGCTTTCTTTTTGCTATGTTTTATTTATTTGCATCCGTGCCCACGTGCACGGAGATCAGAGTACGACTTGTGGGGACCGGTTCTCTCCTTCTACCACTGTAAATATCGAGGCTCGAACCCAGACGGTCAGGCTTGGCAGCAGATGCTTCTGCCCGGCGAGCCCTCTCACCTGATTCTTGTTCTTTGTTTTTGAGTCATGGCATCCTGTGGTCCAGGTTGGCCACGATGTAGCTGAGAATGGCCTTGAGCTCCTCGTCATCCTGACTTCTCCTCTCACGAACTGGGGTGACAGGTGTGTGTTACCACGCCCAGCAATGAGCCGATGACCTCAACTACTGGCAGCTCCAGCATTTGACCCTCACAGCCCCAAGCTCTCTCCTTCCCTACTGGGCATGTCCCACCCACCCCAACACACCCACACACTCCTGCTACCGGTGTCTGACTGGACCACCTCCTCTGTGGAGATGGCCTGGATCACTTCCTCCTGCTGCCTGTATCCCCATGGAACCCTAAGACTCTAGCATTGGATATCTATCTGGTCCACCATCAGATCAAGAGCCCTGGGGGAAAAAAAATTCCTACCCAGAGTCCCCTGTTTGTCCCCCGGGACTGTGAGCTCAGAAAAGATTTCCCGAATTAATGAACCCTGCCCTCCAGGACTTATGAACTCTTGGGCTCAAAACCCAGCCTTCAGACAGACCCAGGGGATCCAGAGAGGGCAGAGGGCAGAGGGCGTGGCTGTCCAGGGGCAGCAAGAGCACATAAGCATGCTCTCTGGCTGCTTCCTGCTCTCCTCGGTCCCCCCTCGCCCTGAGGATTCTGTCTTATCTCGGTCCTCCCCATCTTCTCATCCTGTCTCCCCCCCACCACCACCACTTCTGTCTCCCTAGAAACAGTCATGCTGAGAACAGGAGGGCAAGAGGGAAGGGGGAGGCGAGCTGTTTATAGGAGCTGGAGTGGCTCCATCCATCAGCTCTGTTTGGAGTACAGACCAAGCATAATAAACAGATTGGCTCCTCCTCATCTGAGCTTTCCCTGAACTTGACCCTCCCAACTTCAAGTCTCCCCAGCCAGCTGGTTCTCAGGACCCAGCTCCCACCCGACTCCACTCCACTCCCACCTCCAACCTCCCAGCAGGCTGGCCTGGAGAGAGCTCTGTCTGTGAAATCAAACTCATGTCTGGGGCCACCCTTGCTCTTAGGGCCACCTTTGCTCCAGAAGTGAGGGCAAATTGCACTGCTGTGTCTCCATTTCTCCATCTGTATAATGGGCTCATAAACATGCTTAATGCCGGAGTGCTTGAGCATCCCCAAGGTTCTGGGTCCTAGGTCTGTGGGAAACCTGGGGACAGTTAGATAAAACCTCTGCTATGGGAGGAGGGGGAGACTCAGGCTGTAGCTCAAGCCAGGAAGCTGTCAGTGGTGAGGGAGGTTTTGTGCTCTGGGAGTTTGTTTGCAGCTGGTCACAGGCCTCACAGCTGGAGGAGTGAGTGGGCTTGGAAGGCATCTGAGCTGCCTACAGGGACAGCAGGATTTCAGCGTGAAGTGGAGAGGTCAAAGGGAGAGCCAAGCTCCAGCTCAACCTGGCTGCAGGAGAGCCAGAGCGCTTCGGGATTTCCCCCTTGAGCTCTCGGGTCCTTCAGCATCGCCCAGCATTCTGGAACCTTCTCTTCTCAGCTGGAGAGCTTCCCATTTGCCCAGCTCCACGTTTCCAAGTTGGGGATTCCTTTCCAGGATTTTTGTCCCAAGTCCATCCCTTCTCCCCCAAGACACCACACAAAGTAGAAGACGCAGATAGTGAAAACCTGCTGACCCCCAGCAGTGTGTGCTTTCAGAAGGAATTCGAGAACAAACGAAGGATTAAATAAAAGTGTGAATCAAAGAAAAGGAGACCAAGTGAGCGATAAATCACCGAAAGCACCAACATGTCCTAGGCCCTTCCCATTAAGGAAAAAAAATCTCTCTCTCTCTCTCTCTCTCTCTCTCTCTCTCTCTCTCTCTCTCTCTCTCTTTCTCTCCCCTCCCTCCCTCCCCCCCCCCCCCCCCACCCGCCCATATACACATTAAAAACAATGACAAATAGTGATGAGAGCTTTGAGGAGAGCCAGGGAGATAGCTGGGACAGGGTGGGACCCAGGGGAATCCTCTCTGAGGACCTGAGGTGGCTGAGATGGAGGTTATAAACTGAGAGACCCTCAATGATACCCCCTCACACTTACTAAACACCTTCAGAGAGCAGAAGCTGAGCTTCCGACCCGAGGCCGGGGCTCCCCACTGAAGGCAGTGGCCTCTGAGACTGTCCCCGTCCTGCCCAGAGTTCTTTGATTCCATTTCTGGAGCCAAGAAGAAAACCAGTTGTGATGAGGAGGGGGTGGGGTGTGTGTGTTCTGGGATCCAAGCATTGTGCAGGCAGGGTGAGAAGGCCCAATCCCAAAGGCCCCCACTTTTCATAAGCATTACTATTCTTACTATTTTGTCAGAGACTGGGTTTGGTTTCTGGTCTCTCCATATTATACACATGTCCACCTGTCCCACCAGCTTCTCCAACCACATTAACATTCTTCTGTCAAGCCCTTTGCATGTTTCCCCGGGAACAAATCATGGGTTTCCCCAGGATCAAATCGTGGTTAACAAAAATAAACTGTGTGCAAATACAAATATGCAAATATTAGAGGGATTTTTATTGTCGCTTTATCAAAAATGAGATGGTAGTCTGCATAGTCTCCTGTAATTTAAAAAATTCAACCATATTTCAAAGAAATCACCTCTAGTAAACTGATGTAATTCTATTCAGTTTTTTAGAGTTCATGATATCCCAGTATTAATGTTTTTATTTAGCCATTCATTATTGATGGACAGTTTCTCTTTTTTTTTTTTTGAGAATTTCATACACTGGTACTGTGTCTACATGATTTCTCCCCTCTCTTCCTGCCTCCCACTTCTCCCCATCTCCCCCAACTCCGTCTCAAATTCCTGACCTCTTCTGTGATCAGTATTGCTACACATGAATATATATACATAAGCATGACCTGCTGAGTCCATTTAGTGTTGCTCATATGTGTACTCACGGATGACTGACCACTTGGAACTGGGTAACCTCTCGGGGGCCTCATCCCTGGAAAAGACTAATTCTCCCTGTCTTAGCAGCCTTAGTTAATTGATTGTAGCTCCTCATTTAGAGGTAGGACCTTGAAAGGTTTCCCACATCCACATTGGAAGGCCAGCTGGTGCTGTCACTGCGCAGGTCTTGTTTAGGTGACC